GTGGATGTCTTGTCAGTCTGCCGGGGAACCGTCTGGAAATGAGACCCGAAGAAGACGACAACAGCAACAGCAGTGCGGCGTCAGGATCCGGCAACGGTAACAACCGTGGCATTACTAACGGTAATAACCGCAGTAACAACGGTCGCAGTGCTAACGGCCAGCGTGCCACGAGGCGATCCAGTACGACGGGTCAAACGCTCCGCACGGCTGCCACCGCGGCTGCGGCAGCGAAAGGGCGCAGCGGCGGTGGTACGGCAGTGGCAGATCCTGAGTTCGATCCCTGGAGCTTTCTGAATGAATTGTTGGACTTTGTCCGCTGGCTTCGGGGCTTGGACGGCAAGAGGTGGGGGGGGGGGGCATGGGTTTCAGAATTTTAGGGGGAAATTCTTCAAGGAATGTATCAAATTTTTCTGGGGGTCTTCGAGTGTTTGTCAGCTTGCTTTTAGGAAACCATAGGGGGCTTTGACACCGGAAATGTGAAGGGGGGAACCTTGACGTAAGGCGCAAAGCGTTGGGCGTTAAGTGCTGTCGTACTTCATGTCGTACGTTGTGCTAACGCCTATTGTAGCCACGAGAAAGCCCGACATTGTCAACTAGAATGGCTGTAGCGGCGAGTCGCTCCCTGTTCTAGTGCCGTATTGCCGTACGGTCAAGCCGCGTACCCTTCCTTGTACACATAATCTTACAGCCTCGCTTGGCTTGGCTCCACTCCGCTAGAAAGTTTACCGTTTCCAAATCCATGACCCCAACTCAACCACACCACACCTGACTACTGCTGCGGCTACTGCCGCTACTGCTGTTACATTACTGCCGCTATTGCCGCTACTGCTGTTACATTACTGCCGCTATTGCCGCTACTGCTGTTACATTACTGCTGCTACTGCTGTTACACTACTGCCGCTACTGCTGTTACATTACTGCCGCTACTGCTGTTACATTACTGCCGCTACTGCTGTTACATTACTGCCGCTACTGCTGTTACATTACTGCCGCTACTGCTGTTACATTACTGCCGCTACTGCTGTTACATTACTGCCGCTACTGCTGTTACATTACTGCCGCTACTGCCGCTACTGCCGCTACATTACTGCCGCTACTGCTGTTACATTACTGCCGCTACTGCCTGTCAGTTTGGAGACTCGAATCGACTTGGAGGGGGTTCTGGAGCAGCTCTTCTCCGTGGTGGGGATCTGCGGCCAGGAGACTCGGAGGCTGCTGGGCAGGGGGCCCCAGGAGGGGGCTGTGGCGGTGGAGGGCACCAGCAACGTCTCAACCTGAGGGGGTCGCAAGAAATCCCCTCGCGGTAGATGAAGTAGTGATAGAGGTTGTGCAGGGATGGGCATGGCGCGTGCGGGAGTGCAGGGTGAAAGGAGTATGTGAGCCTGTGTGTATATGTGAGTATATGTGAGTATGTCTGTGTGGTATGTGTGGCAGAGAGGACGAGGAAGTGCGGCAACGGGAGGACTCCACCTCAACAGTCTTTCCTCGCAGTCTTTCCGCCTTCGGGATTTGCGGCTGGATGGAGGGGTAGAGGCCATCTACTGGATGGATGGATGGAGGATGGAGGGATGGGAGGGGATTCCGAGCAAGAGCTGAAGTGCGGGAATCTGAAGCAATTATGTGCTCCGGAGCAGCAGGATTGCGAATTTTAAAGATTTCTTCATTTTCGCTGCCGCAGCAGCAGCAGCAGATCATGAGGTCCGTTTTTCCGCAGGCTTTGCCAACCTTGCCGGCTCTACCGCATATGTATGTATTTATGTATGTGTGTATGTGTGTCCCCCGGCAGTGGCCAGTGCCAGGGACAGCAGAGGCAGAAGAAGGGGCAAAAGAGGGGAACCGTGCGACGTATATACAGACGTACATTTATCAACGAAACTGTGCAGTGGGGCGAGCGGCAACAAGAAAAGTGGGAGAAGGGGAGGATTACCTTCCCGTCCACAGACATGTGCATGCATGTATACTCGCGCATAAGACTCGAAGGGAGCATCGTCTCGTGGGGTTATCTGTGCATGTGCGTTGATGTATGTATGTGCGCGTACCAAGGGACATGTTATGATTGTTCATGTCATTTATCGTCATACCCACGTCACACGGGGGTGTCACACGGGGCGTTCATGCATCACCGTTCTCGACATCTGCCTCGCCTTGCCGTACATGGCCGCAGTGTGTCGTACATGTAGAGGAAGCACTCGGTTCTGCAGCAGTCGTTCTGGTGCACACACCCGTTGGCGTGCCCACACACTTCGCGTACACACAAAAAAATACACATGCACGAGCACATCAGCCACATGCAGCAAAAGAACATCACATCACTGTGGGGCGTGCGCTCTTATCGAACCTCGGATGTCAGCGCGTCAGCTAGATATACGTGTGTATACGATCATTTGCTTAGTTTGCCGTACGGGATGCCGTATGCGTCCCTTTAAGAGACCTGCGTTGCAACTGTATTTTGTACGACGATAGCTTTTGTCTTTATTTTTGTGCACATGATATGATGGTATTGCTGTATATTCATTCCTTATACGACACATATTCAGTGGTATGGATGATGCTATGGATGGCAGCAGCTGGGAATGTTATTTTGCCTACACAGCGCTATATGGATGTGTACGTTTTTGCTGCTTTATTCTGGCCTGCTTGTGTGTACGGCATAGGTTGTTGGATAGAGAAATCCGGTCAGGTGCATCAGTAATCAAGAGCCATTGCAGTATTTTCTACACTCACCACCTGGGAGTTCATCAATGGCGGCAATGATATATATTATGATGATAATGGGATTGTCGTCGATGCGATTGTCGTCCCGTTCGCAGCTGCAGTGTACAAAGCTCATGTTATACATACTTTCTTCCATGAGATGGGCGGGAATTTCGCTGTGTACTGTATGTATTGTTTAGTGATTTGTACTAACACTCAAAGCACAGCAGGTGAGGGCCTTAAGTGTACGGGACTCAGTAAAACTACAGCCGCAAGTACGTCGCATGGACCATACACTTATGTCTGTGGTATACTTACAGATTCACACACTGAATTTCGCCATCTTGCAAAATGTGCGCCTGGTCCCTGTGCAGAGGTTTGTAGAGATGAATTTTCATACAAATTAGGTAGTTTGTAATGCACCTCATACTCATGCCGACGAAACGTGCGGACGGTTATCGCGCGCGGAGTGTTCTGGAAACGCATCAACCATATGTAATATATAAGCGATATGGACGAAACCTTTTCTCTCCAAAAAAAGTGGGGTTTACAACATCCTGATTGTAAATGACCGGGTACCAAGGATTTTCATCCAGCCACGATCCGGTGATCCAGCCATGCTGATCCAATGCAACGTCATCATCAAGTTGCACGGCATTCTCACGGCACACACTCATGAAAATGTAAAACGTCCTATTAACGGGATCAGGCTCTTAACAAAAAAGCTTGCCCTGCCATACAATTATATTTGTTGGCCCAAAACAACGGACCAGGATCATATCCATCCTGCTTTAATTATTTGTTCTTGCCAGAGACATTGCCACACGACTTTTGCCCATCCTGCTTATGCAATTATTAAGACAACATGTTTCCCTTCCCACAGAGATGTACCCAGTTGTGAAGCCCATCCTTGTCCACGGCTGGAGCGAGCAACAACTCGTTGGTGGTAGATGTCAGCTGCCGAACGTCACACCACACGTCCTACGGCATACATTGTACGCTGCCAGTTGTCGTACAACACAGCGTACGACCAGCACGCGTTATTCGTGTCGTATCGCAACAGAAGGCATATAACTGCTACACGCCATTATTGCTCTATTCCACGCACACTACCTCCTTGACGATGCTACCGTGTCTGGGCACACCTCTGCGCCTATTCTATAGGATATAGTGTACATGGAAGTCCTCCAGGTCCTCCAGGCAGCTGACATTGCAGTCACGCTTTTGCCAAGACACCTCAAATGGTGGATATAATTGCCAAAGCCTCTTTTGTTGGGACACAAAAGAGGAAAAAAGAAAAAAAGGAAAGGACAGCAGCAACACGCGGCAACAGTACGCTCGTCCTCACCACCCGTCACATACAACACACTCATGGCCAACCTCTTCGTGCAAATGGCTGCAAACGACGGTCCTTCGAGTCGCGTTGTTCTTCAAGGCCAGGGACGGCGGTCAAACCAGCCCCAAGGCCGGCTGATTCGCGTGTTGGGCGGGGACTCTCCCTCCGGAGGTACGGGGGCGCGACGCTCTGGCTGGTAGTCACAAGAGACGGGGCGTACGATAATGCCGATGACGCCCCATCGGTTCTCGGCCAACTGTACGGCATGACGCGGCGCGCGGCGTGGCGTAGCGCAGACAAAAGGGTGCATAGCCGCCAAATGAAATACTTGCCAATTTCGTGTTCCATTCAGAAGCTATACTTATCATTAAACGTACAGCAAGCCTGTTCAATAACAACACTCGTTATGTTTTTGCCGTACCGTACCGTACCTTCTCAAAGGCCCACGTGCTCATGTCGAAGTGGTACATGTCCCCGCAGCACCATCGCCGGTTCGACCAGGCGTTGTTGGGGTAATTGCAGGGGCATGAATCAGTGATCTGCAGCAGCATGTTATCGCAGACGAGTTGTTGTTGTTAAGATGCTGTTAAGATGGATGATGTTCGACTTGAGATGAACAGATGAAGATCCAAGAAGCGATTAGTTTGCTGCTAAAAAATATCCGGCTGCGGCACGTCTGTCGTCTGTTTTTCGAGTTGCTACGACGCACCTGCACGACCACACTGGCCTCCGGATCACGGCAAACTCCCGTACGGTCAAAGCTCTGTCCGTAGTTGTCGCTGAGCCATGTTGGATCGCACCGCACCTCGAAGCACCGACTGCGGACATCATACGGGGTCCCAGGACGACGGATAAGACGACGGAAGGGGCTAAAAATAAAATTGCAGCGACGCTAATTTATTCACCTTACTGTTAAAACGTTAGTTTTGTTTAAACGTCTGTTAATACGCCTTTAAAGGCTGTTAAATCGTGTTTAAACCTGCGGCCCCGCGCTTCGCGTGCCTTCTGCCTTGCTTCGCTAATCCGTAATTCCATGTTATTTTTACTAACGCACCCGCAGCTGCCTGCGAAGTCCCAGTTGGCGTCGCTCATGGCGGCGATGTCCCAGCCTGTGGCGCGATCGTGGTCCAGGTAGCCTGCAGGAGCGCAAAAGGGGAGTCGCCACTGCGGATTAACAAGCTTGACAAGATTCGATGTGAACGCAGGGTGGGAAGTGCGCCGGTAGCGCGAAACAAATAGGATGGTTGTGTATGATGGTTACAATTCCAATTGAAGCAAATAACATTACGAATTGATCTGAAATGATACTGCATAAGCAGCAGGAGGCTTGCATTGCAAACTCGCTACGACGCCACAGGTTTTTGCAACCGACGATGTTGCAGCATTATTTTTTCGTTGCCTGCCAAGCGCTCCTTTCTATATTTATTTATTTACAGTACGAAAAACTCACCATAACCGCAGCTTCCTTCGTTTATGTTCCAGCCATCATCAGTACCTCCATAACGAGTAGCGCGGGCCTTGTGCCATGTGCCATCCCAGTCAGCCAAGCATCGGTACGGCAATGACGAACATGTAATCAAACCCAGGAAGGCTGCCAAGAAGGGCGTGATCGGTGTCGGGCGGCGGCGACTGGAAACGGGGTCGCGGATGCCCTGTTGCCTGCATGAGACGATCGGCGCTTCGGCGGCAGAAGAGTCTCGTGGCATAGCTGGTGTAGAGAAGCGGGCCATTATCTTTTTTTATCTTTTTCTTAAGTTTTTCCTCAAGTCAGCTAAAGCAGCGTTTGTAATGACGCGCTGTGGAAAAGCTCTAGCCGGATGCTTGAGCTACTTTGCGCTCCTGTAATTGCCAATAAGCTCTGAAAACTAAACGTAATGAAGAGAAACTATGAACGCAAAGTGGCAGGTAGAGAAGTTTGAGAAGTAGGATAATAAAGGTAAGAGACGCTGGGTGGGGTTCCAGCTGATATTAGTGAATACAATAGGATCGCGGGGGAAATCGCGGAGCCCTACGGAGAGCCTGCGCTCACAAAGTGCGACTCTCCAACACCTCTAATTTCAGGATGGATTGGTTAGGAAGACCCGTTCTTTGCTTTATATAGCAAAGATGTCGTTAATTTCCCGCCACTGTCGTGCACTCTTGAGGCCTTACAATTAGTCGCATGAGGCACGATTTGACATGGCGTTTATCATAATTGCAACGCAATGCAAATTCGCGTGACATGGACTGACCGCGACGTTGTTCTTAGGGTTGAATAAGCCGTCCAAACCGTTTTAATGCAGGCCGAGACGACTTTCCAGGCCGAGACGACAACACCATGACGTGACGTGTTTCCTGGACTAGTGACCTACAAGCTCAAATGGTGTTGACAACTTAAAGGTAAATGCAGCAGCTTTCTGTGGGATAGCCTACAGACCCCTGGGTCGCTGGTGAAACGGTTGTCGGACCAATGACGCCAAGGCCGGGCTTATACATAGGGTTACAGGCTGTTAGCAGAGGGCAGAATTCCGACTGGCTTGAAGGTCTTAGTAGCACCGGAGGATGCGTCAGGATTTGTCAGGGCCAAGTTCCGGCTGCGCTAGAATGGACAGTTAAACCAGAGCACCCCTTGGCAGCAGCCGTAAACATTCTTCAAATCAAATCACGTAAATAGACTCCTGGTCACCGTAATCATAAAAGTTACGCTCTGTTCCTGGGGTTCGAGTTAGCTGAGCCCAGCTGATGCGCTTTGTCTGGCACCACGATGTTGCTGCGGACATTTGAGCAATAACCATTTTATAAATCTTGAGCTTCAATTGCTCGCTTAAAGTAGTTTTAGACGGAATGCGCAAACGGGAGGGCCTTTACCATGGCCAAGAAGGAAAAGACCGCAAGCAAGAAAGCCGATGCAATAGCCAAAAGAAAAGATTCTGCCACCGCAGACGCGGTCAAGGACAAGAAAGCAGGCAAGGTGCGCATCATTCGAGGGTGGCGCTGTGCACCATCGTCCAAGCGGCCAGACTTGCAATTGCAAAATGCATCTGCTATAGATTATAGTGTCACGCTTTTTGAGTGTGCGCAGGAGCGCTTCAAGGGCAAGGGTAAATGGGATGGAGCCGGCACCAATGGTGACGACCTGGGCACCGAGCTGGCGGCGTTGGGGCTTCGGATAAAAGAAATCACAGGCGATGGTGAGGCATAGGTTACGGACGCAATGGGAATAAAGGAAGTGCAAGTAAAGAAGAACGTGATGGCTAACAGCGTGCTATCCGAGCGAGCGCCCCGCAACCCTCATCCGCGGTCGGTTTCAGGCTCTCCCAGCTGCACCATAGGGTGCGTGAAATTCGGCTATGGGTGGGTTATGTGCCCAGAGCGCGGCACGGAGCGCAGCACGAGAGGTAAAATCTATTTTTGGTGACATGCTGACGCGTGTCGTCAGGTCACCTCCCGCCTCACCACAAATCTACCTCCCACAGATGTTCACGCACCAAGTAGGCAGCTGCATCTCAATAAAAGAAACCCAGGTTCCACTTTGCCGCAGCGAAGTACCTTGCCGCGAGCGTGCAGCCCCTCCTCACGTCCCCTATTCATAAACTTTTCAAATTAGTCTAACATCCGCAGATTGGAGGCGCCCAGCAATTCTCCCCTCCTCATGCCCCATCGTACCCCTCCCCATACATACTCGGCTATCTTACCACGCACTCCACGGGTGAAGCGCAGGCAACTGCTTCTTTCGTGCGCTAGGGGACCAGCTGCAGGTGAGTCGCGCAGCGCACATGACGAGCACGTTTTATGAAACTGGTGGGCGGGGGGGGAGTTCAGCGATGTGTGTTCTCAGCAGAGCAGCGAGGTCAAAAAGGGGGAGACAGGGGTCCTTCAGGTAAAGACGAGAGTTGCGGCACATGCTTGAACTGGATCCTGCGATCCCCAGTTAATGACATATGTGGTGTTTGTGTGGAAAATGGTGAACACTGCGGGTTTTGTGAAAAGTGGATGTGAAAAGTGGAATATTGTGACCTTAAACATGACCTCGGGGTGGGTGACACCGCGGACGGTGCACACGTGCCGTGGTGGCGAACAGTCGCTCGCTGGCAATGCGTGAGCTGCCGTACCTGCTGATCATTGTAGATGAGACGGAGCATGTTTTTATATGTTGCTGGTGTTTATATTTTTGTGGCTTTTAGGCATTCAGGTCTTGTCCTTGGGGCCTTGGCTCGTATGGGTAGTTGGATAGGTATGGGGTCAAGCACCCCCAACCATGTAACCACACACAGATACGTCGCCGCCGTTCAGTTGTGATGCCGTCGTTTTGCCGCGGCCGCTGAAACTTGAAGATTCCCAAGCGTTCATTTTACCAGTGTGATTACTTCTGGGTCAGTGTGACGTGATCTGATTTGGGTCAGTGTGACGTGATCTGATCTGGGTCAGTGTGACGTGATCTGATCTGGGTCAGTGTGACGTGATCTGATTTGGGTCAGTGTGACGTGATCTGATCTGGGTCGGTTGAGATTCGGCTGGGCTCGAGGGCCGTCGGGTCAATATAGTCGTGTAAGAAGCTGGAACCACGTGAATAAGGAACTTGAGGGTGGATAGGTCGGTGTGGATTTGTTCTACCGTATGCTATTAGGTACAAATCCACACCGAATTTGTTCTACCGTACCTAATAGCATGGCATCCACGGAATTTGATTGCTGTTGTTTTTGTTACTACATACCAGATTGCCTGTGGCCCTGTCTCCCCTTAGCCCTCGGTAGCACTCCCCATGCTCTCTTGGGTCCTGCGAACACGTACGAACGTACAACCTATGTACAGTGATTGAATCATGAAGATTAGCATTGCCTGAAAGGGCAGTGGTACCGTGTATGTACGACAATGTGTATGCGTTCGGCTGTGGCTGTCTGCAGGGTGACGAGCGACAACATGTACAGCTACGGCAGCGCGTTGTGTCGTACATGTTGGATCATCAGGACGATTTTGCGCCGTTTGTGGAGGATGACGAAAGATTCGATAGCTACGTGGCCCGAATGAAAAAGGTGCGAGGGGAGTCTCCCGTAGTGTGACAGTGTGTCGCGTGTTGGATGGATGTCGAGAGAAGTGGACCGTGGGAAACTTGTCGTGTTTTTTCTGGACAGTACAACCCATCCCAACCCAAACCCACTAGACGGTTACAAGCCTTTCCGTACGACGGTAAGTCCTCCCCTTTTGCGTGGTGGCCGTCGATGGCCTTAGAGCTGTGTACGAGAGGGAGGCTGTGGTCGAGATGTCGGGTGACTGGATAAGGAGGGGTTTAGATGGCAGGACCCAAGCCGCATTCGACTTTCAGTTCGTACGGCGGAATTGACTTAGGGTTTATATAAATATATACGCGTTCATGCGGAATTTGGAAATTTTGACATGTATGAGAAAGACACCATAAACAAGTACCGCGAGTACCGCGGCTCAGATCATTAAAATGCTCGAAAGTAGATCGTAAGAATGAAGGCTGCATGATGAACAAAAACGGATTTTAGTAATTGCATAGAACCGTTTGTAACGTTCCCACATGTAGTTTCGCAGTATTTTTCTCTTTTCGTAACTGCTGATGTGTGGGCCAGGGGGCCCATATCTTCACCCTGCGGCCGCTACCCGGCGAAACCCTGCCTTCCCCGGTATTTCGGGGCACCCGCATCTAGTCACCCTAGTCAACTTCTCAGTGGATCGCTCAGGTTTTACTTCATTCCTGTTCAACTCGCAAGTTGGCGTTATACTAGGCCACCACCGTGCATCGACTATGGGCACTTAAACTTCCACCCTCGTAAGGATTTTCGTCCTTGACAGGTCTCGATCTCGGGATCTCCCGGGGACATTCGTGCGTGCTCTACCAGTAGTGCCTGGCCTGGACTGCTGTACATGCCCGTATTTCATTCCTGTTGGCTCCCACCCAGCTCGCCCCTGTGTTTTTAAAATAATCCTTCCCTTCCTAACCACTCTCACAGGCCCTTAGAAAGAATTGCTACTCTATCAACAATTATATTCTAGCTGCTAACCAACCTAGCCAGGACTCTTTCCCGCCACCTCCCGGGTATGTAATTCTCGTCGCGGCCAGTATGCTTTGCTGTTCGACACCTGCAACTTGATTTTTTTTGCATCTATATTTTACGTGTACGATGTTTTAGAAGTGCGATGTACATGGATGACCTGGATGTTTAACTTGCATATTTGTTTGACTTGCCCCTGCCGCCCCTGCACCCCTTGCTGCTGCAGGACGGTGTATGGGCGGGTTACATGGAGGTTGTGGCGGCTTCTCGATGTCTGGCGGCTAACCTGACCATATACCAGGTGCAGTGTCAGGAAAGGGGGGGCGTGGAGGAGTGGGTAGTGGGAGGTAGAGGCAAGGGCAGGGGCCGGCAGCAGCAGGGGTTGGATGGATGGATGGGGGGGCAAGGGCTGGGGGCCGGCAGAGAGGGGATCGGGTAGGGGGCGGCGGCGATAGGGAGAGTAGACCGGGGGGTGGGGCTGATCCGGGGCGGGCTGATCCGGGGCGGGCTCATCCGGGGCGGGCTGATCCGGGGCGGGCTGATCCGAGGCGGGCT